GTGTAATTGGGGGTGTGGGTGTGATTAGGTGTGTGGGTGTGATTGGGGGTGTGGGTGTGATTGGGGATGTGGGTGTGATTGGGGGTGTGGGTGTGGGTGGAGGAGAATTGATTGTATATGGATGATGGTATGAAATATGTATTAATATCATATAATATGTCTTAACGAGATCCATTAAAATATAAATATAGGTGGTGGGCCTCTTCAGTCCTATATTTCTGGAATAGCCCCGATTTGAGATATATATCACTTGTTTGCTAATATTTGGTATGAATACATGAATGCAAACAAATCTATCACAATTAAGCATAGTAAAGATTACTCCAGGATGTTTCTAATATTGTAACTACCAGAATGAGCACAAAGTATAAGTAACATTATTAAAATCATGTTTTCTTAGATTAAACATAAATTCTTTCATGCCTCTAAATTTTATATACATTTTCCAACAATCACAAAAATAAATTTTAACAATAGTATTTTTCATTTTAAATACTCAGAGAAGAAATCATACTGGTGATCGCAAATTACAACCGTTCCTCGGTATCAGGTAAATCCACCTGTAAATGCATGATGTCTATGCTATCCCCTCTCACATAATAGTATGATTGTCACAGCGACCATGTGTTCGTTAAATTAATTCTACTTCTAAATGTTTACAAATCAGGTCGTGAAACTCTACTGGCAATTAATCAAATAAATTTGGATACATTCCACACGCACACTTCTGTACATTTAAAAAAATATTTATTTTAAAGTTATGGATGACTGCAATAAAAATCTAAGGCAGGTCTGTTTTTGAGAGAAAAAAAATATAGAGGTCTGATCCATTGGCCATCACCTGGAAAAGGAACATCAACATGTCATAAAAGCCCTACACCAGTCAACACAAAATATCTGAGTAGCCATTGTGACATGAGCAAATTGAAAATCAGTGTTTGGTAGCCTTTAAGCTTGATGCTGATATTTCTTCAGCAATGGATGGTAAAATGGCTCTTAATGAAAAGCAAAGTTTCAGTTTAAATCCTTTCTAAATGTGTCCTGCTATTTTTAAAACCGATCAACCTTTTCAAAGAAAAGCATATGTAAGTTGGACCAGACTATATGTGGAAATAGTTTTACAGTCAATATATACAAAATGGCTTCCAAACTGACCTTATTTGAAATTTTCTTGCAATAAAGTGATAATTGATTAAATATGGGTTTATAAGTTCAAAAGTTCAATAAAATATGGTGAACAATAGCATTACTTGCCAACTCTCCCTATTATGGGGGGAGACTACTGATTTTGGATCCTACAATTGAACATTTTCAACTATTGAATTTGCCAAACTACTCCTATTTGCTTACTTCTGATGATTTCACCTGAAAGAACTACTCTAAAGAAGCCATCTAGAAGTGCTATTTTTTCCTTAGGGTATACACATACATACATTTGAACAATCTCCCCAATGAATATTTCAAAAAGTTGGCAAATATGCCATAACCAAGTATATATGTACCACTGGGTTTTTTTTTACCAAAAAGAAATGTTTCAGCTGACCAGAGATTTTATTCACATTTTTCGTTATTTTTTACATGGATATGCATATACAGTACAACAGTATACTTTAAAAAAAAATACTGACTAGGGTTTTAAAAATTGATTTTGATATAATACATGTACAAAGATTAATGAACCTAAATCTGGAATTTATTGATGATTTTAATATCTATATATAAATATGCAGATTAAATCTTCAAGATTGAAAAATACATATACATATATTATTTCATTGGTCAAGATTATTGGCTGGATAGAGGGGTTTTGTTTGAAAAAAACAACAACAGGAAATATATCATTTTCATTTTGGGACTGGGTCAATATTTTAAGTAGCATTATAGGCTTACTATTGATAGGCTTCAAACACATTCATGACTCTATATTTTGAGAAATATTTTAAGAATATTTCACAAAGGTGGCCGGGGTTCGATTCCCTGATCCGATGTGAAAAGGTATGGGGTCACCTATCCGACAATGTGGGTTTTCTCCGGGTACTTCATTTTCCCTCCCACATTAAGACCCTGCATAGGCTAAAGTCCGGGCCAAAATGAGTGCTTAGTATGAGTTGAAATAATGTGTTGAAATAACTTGTTTCATAATTGTTGTAAAATAAATAAAGTTGAATATTTAATAGAGCTGATCTATTTTAAAAAACTGCTCACTAGGTCTTGCCCCAGATTACTTCTGCTATACCTTAGCTTTGTTATTGTGTAACTTTACACAGCCTTCGTCTAGTCCATATACCTGACAGGCATACTCGAACACCTGTCAGACAGCATCCTATTCCTGATGACACTTGTCAGAGTACTGTATACCAGGACATTTTCTTGCAGTTTGATTTTCACCTTTTTCGGCCACCGTAGCGAGGGCGAATTAATCATTTCAGCGAATAATAGTAAGCAACATAATATACATAGTAATAAAATATGACGGGCAAAATTTATACTTGGGAAGGGTGAAAGTTTGACTGAGCGAAATTTCCTGGTATCCAGTACCTCCTCCCTGAAGATACCTGACGGAGATTATTCCCTTCCAGAGAGAGAGAGTATCATTTCCTTGAAGACAAATGACAGATGAGCTGATACTGTCCTCTCGTTGAAGACACCCGACATTGTCCCCTCCCTCGCACCAGATTTTTTATTCCACTTCCATACCCAAATCACCACACACCCTCAAAACTAATCATATCAAACTTCCTTTAACTAATCAGTTTATAGGAAAGACAAAGCACTAACAATACCCATCATGTATTTCTCAATAAGCAGGAAAAAGTGAAATGTTAGAAAAGAAAATATATTGTATCTCACATCAAAACCCAGTCTTAGCCAAATTTACCTGATTATCTGAATAAAACTTTTTAAAAACATTTATTTTGTGTTTCAGTCACATGAAATACTTAACAGAATTAAAACAAATCATAGACATTTCTACTAAAACTTGTCAGCCCTATGACTGTTCCTCCTTTTGCTTGTATTTCTCCCTGTTGCCACTTGAGATATCAGTTTATTACCAAAACTTTTCTTAATATAGTAAAACCTCAATATACTGCCACCATTTGTCCAGAGAAATCTTGGCATTGAAAGGGATTTGGCGATAAATTGAACAAAATATATAAAGGAATTCTAAAGGAAACAAGAAAAGGGACATTGAAATATGTTGGCAGTAAACAAGGTGGCAAATGAAACGAGGGGCATTATATCAAGGTTTTATTGTATATAAACGAGGGGCATTATATCGAGGTTTTACTGTACAATACACCATATAAGAATATATTAAATAGTTTTTTATTGTACATCAGACATATTTCACAGATTGTCAAAAACTGATAAAAATAGTTTTGATTAAGGGTGTTCGACTCATATTGACTCTTATTAAACTCTCCCAAGTGATACTTCACAAATCACAAACAATTGATAATTGTTACTCCACACATTTCAGAAGAATATTTTTCATGGTTTTGTTTTTTTGGGATTTCAAAAAAGAACTATTTTTTTTCCACATTTTCTACCTCAGAAAGAATGAGGTTTTGATTTTTTCGGGTTTTTGTTACACATTTGTATTCTATTGGAAAATTGAGAAACTGGTTTACCTTTTTTCTGTATATATCAAAACAATTATAAAGAATGACTTTGAAACTTTGAAATGCAGAGCTAACATTACGCATTCAAGCATGTATCAAGACTTCATGATCAAGGGTAACTTAAAGCAAAGGGGAGCAAATATGATAGCACGTTTAGGAAAAAACCGCCAGGCATTCAATTTTATTAGGTTCTGAACAGACATTAATGAATTCTTATAAATTATCAATAAAATAATTCATCATTCACTTTGATCCCATTCAAATTATATACATAATGTTAACAATGAAGCACCACCAACAAAATCACTGAACATATATTGTTAAAATAGTTTATGCCCTAGTATTGATATAAAAAATAGACACACATCATAGGAAAAAAATGTGTGCAGAACCCATCACAGACACTTATAACAGCAATAGAACTGGTTAAAACTCATCCTAGAGGAATTGCACATCTATGACAACTGATGTCTGGAACGTGCATCTCAACCTGTATGGTGGTGAAAAGGAACTCGTGCTTCTGTTTCAGCACGGTATTAGCAGCCTCCAGGACCTTTTGATGAGACGCAGAGGAATCTGAAATAGAATTTAATATGTATCCAGTATTAATTGACAGATGATTTGATACTGAAAAATAAAATTGATTAAGTTCATGCTGACATACAAGAATCTTTGATAAGATGGTGTATCATTTTTACGTAAACATCTTTATTACAAACTAAAACTGAAGGTTATCAAACTGATTTTTCAGCCAGAAAAGCGTTTATTTTTTGGCCATATGTCCCTTGCTAATCTGATGCTAGACATCATTCACACATTACAGACTTTTCAAGAGTAAAACTAAATCAATTTTCTTGCAATTTTCTTGCATTTTTTCTAGGTTCCTACTTTTCGAAAAAAAAAAAATTTTTTTTTTTTTTTTTTTTTTTCAGAGTATGGATACCTTTATTTAGTCAATGGTTTTAACTTTGTTTAAAAAAGTTAAGCTGCATTTAAGGAGACAGAAACCAAGCTTGGATAGAACAAGTCTTGCTAATGAAATAATTTAACTAAATGTACCTATAGTGAGGTGGATTGCTACAGCATTTTTGTCTATAGTCAAGGCCCACACAATGAGATCATGGGCAGCCTTCACCCCCGGTACACTCTCCAGGTCAGCAATTATGTCATTGTACTGTACATCTCTCGGAACACCTGAAACATAATCAATAAATCAAAACTAAATTGAAGTGACACAGACTTTATATCCAAGAATTGAAAATGTTAACTTTTCAACTAGAAAATATTTAACGAATAACATTTTGTTTACACAAATTATCTAAAACCATTCCAAACTTAACCCTTAGCCATAGACAAAGAGTGGTCTGCTTGCTACATATCCGAATCATCATTGTACCAAATCACTAGAGTTAACTACCTTCCTTGATCCATAACTGGCTATACATGTATACCAACAGCTCCTATATATTCTTTAATTTCTTTTAGGATCCCCATACCACTGCCAAACAAGAGGCCAAGAGGGCCTGTATCGCTTACCTGAATATGTTTGAAATAATTGGTATGAAGTTAAGATATAGCACTCCATGGTAGGTGCTGTAAGTACATATGAAATTTCAGAAAGATTCATCCAGTCCTTGAGATATAGCAAGAACAAACTTCAAACAGAGCCCCACCCCTAAATAAGGATAAAATCCCTTAATCCCGATGGTCGAAGAAGGATTTTAAAGGTTTTACCTCTATTTCTCCTATTTGGCCCCACCCTTTTGCCCCCTGGGAGACCACATCCACTGTTTATAAACAAGAGGCCCATGGGCCTTAACGGTCACCTGATATATTTATACAGAGAGTTGATTTTGTTTTTAACATGAACAGAAATATTATTCAAAGTGACAAAAAACAATAAAACCACCTTACTCAATATCTAGCATACAGATTTCAGACTAAAAAGGATTTGAAACTAGCACCTCTGATTCTTAACAAGGAAAATGAAGAAATTTTAGCACACTGACTCCTTTGAGCCCCACCCTACAGCCCTTGGGGGTAGGGCTGGCTCAAAATTTTCAAAGTATCAAACTGTCAATTCAAGGTTATAATTCCAATCAAGTTATTAACATGTAATATT